TTATTCCTTATTCGAATAAAAATTTTGAACAGTGATTACGATCAATCAAAAACGATGGACAAAGTATTCACGGCGAGTGACTTTACATACGCCGAACGTCCGACGAACAACACACTTCACAGTGGTCCAGAATCAAAATTTAGCAACTCATGCGATTATTTAGTTCAAGCAGTCAAAAACTTATCAATTTATAATTTTTATTTAAATAAAAGTAGATAAATGAACAAATTTATAACAATTTTATGGATCCTTTTCGATGAAGTCATCATTCGCTAACAGTGTCTTCAATATTTCCATAAACAAAAGTAAAATATGTAGGGTATTTCTTCCTATTTTTTTTACTGAGATTGATAATACGAAAGGGTTTAAGAAGAACAATAACGCATGGAACAAATATTTCATGGTTGATAACTTGAGGTGAGTTCATTAGGAAGATAAAAGAAATTTATTGTCGACTGTTTGACTTGCTTAATTTTAATTCCGGTCCACTGCGCGCCTATGCGACTAACGCGATCACAAAAATTACACAACTTTTCGTGGAGAGCCACAATCGAGGGATCCGTTCCCGGCAGGGCAGCGCGGCTCGCTAGACGATGCACTGGGGGAAAAGAAATGTTTCTCGAACGAATCGAGCGGAGCGTCGCTGACACGATCGTCAAAGGCCATCGAGCAGCAGACAAAAGTTCGTATTTTCGCTACCCGAGTGGAGCAACTTTCATTTGTCAAGTTTCGCAATATATATGGCCGGGCATCGGTTTCTCGGGTTGCGTCCGATCGGATCGTCCGGCGACCTTTTCCGTTCCTCCGGTCGACGGATCGAACACGCACCGCGACGGCCCGACACGCGAGCTTCCTTAGATCCTAGAAGGCCGTCCTTAAAATTAATCGTTGAAACAGTTGCGTGTGGCAAGAGCGAAGGGAATCAGTCGTTTCCGTTACGTCGATGTCGTCGCGCATCGAGTCTGTTTTTCGTCTAACTTCCAACGAATTTTCCGAAATGCTTCTTCAACGTCAATTTTCATTTATCGAATCGTAACTTTTTCAGATCGTGATCATTATCTTCGGTGAACTATGATACAGAATGTCTCTGAATTGTGGGTACAAACCTGTTAATGAACTTCGCTAAAAAGATTTCGTGATGAATGTAGGAGAATAATACGTTTGCTACCAAGTATCACAAAGTTAGTCGTATTAACCCTTTCATAGTTGGTGGTCACATTTGTGTACATGAAGTTTCTTACAATTTCACACAAAGTCTTGGGTATAGTGTGTTATCCATATTTTTTGTATAAATTTGAAGTTCTGAATGTTCTGAATGTTTTTAGTAGGTCTAATGAATTCAGAATTGAATAACAAATTTGAATGATAAAATAATTGAACCTGAAGGTAGTACAATTTTCCACGTGTCTTCTTCAGTTTCAAGTGTTAATACATTATTATTAAGCGCTACAAAGTGCTATGTATGTTTCTTTCCTCATTAGTGCTCTCTTAGGTGTCTACAAAACTATGGGACACATAAACTTTTTTTTTAAACAAAATATCAACTGAACGATCTACTGAGTGAAAATGTGTAATCGAATACTTTTTTTATTCTTAAAAGAAAATTCTGGTCTGAAAGGGTTAACACTAGAACTATCGAATAAGTCAAAATAACGTGTCAGTACACTCTTATAACGATAATTAAAATGTTATAACAATACAATTTCTCAGATCTTTTGCAATTGTTATTACGATATGAAAGTGAAGAAATTAGTTAATATATAAATTTGTAAAATTTCTAGTGTGAATATTCGAGTACAGTACAATTTTGAATTCTGTTTTTAATATACAGGGTGTCTCAGATCAAGTAGTACAACCGGAGAGGAGCTCATTTTATAAGAAAAAATAAGTCGAAAAAGAAGAATAAATGTTTTTCATACGAGACTTCATTTTCGAGAAAAACCACTTGGATACTTTATCGAGTCTGCGTGTATTCGTGTTGATGATAAGTAGAAACGGTATGTGATGAACAGGCGCGTTAACTAAATCCTATTGAATTATTGCGCGCGTATTCAGCAGATATTAAAATTTGATTATCTCGGAAACAAAGGATCATAGGAAAAAATTGCATTGCATACTTTCCACTTGTTTTTGCATGCAAAATAACCTCCTACACGGTTGTACTACTCAACTTGAAGCAGCCTTATATACAACGAGTGACAATAAAAATGTTATACCATGCTACAAAAAAGAAAATACTGTTGATGTTCGAAATGATATCTTTTTGCTTCTAGAAAAAAGAAATTGGGGTGCAAGATTTGATTTTTGTTTCACATGTATTGTATGTACTTTTTATGTCTTTTAGCAAATGCCATCAGTCAGTTAAGTTTTTACCTATAGTTTAGAAACACTCAGTATATACATATATTCGTCCAATTTAACATATATTAAAATTGTTATAAAAGGTACCCAGAATTATTACCAGAAGTACTAATTTGTAGATAATATTGATTTAATTCAAGTTTACAATTTTGCCCTGTTAAAGTCATGCGTGACATCTTCTTCTGGCAAAACAAATCGTTCATTTTTACTGAACAGATACTAAATAAATAATAAAATGATTTTATATGCAAAAGTTATATAAAATTGAATTTACGACAATATGATGTTCACTGTAAATAGTGGTGTACACAATAAGTAATTATTTCAGAAACTACAAAACGAGCGTCTATGTTAATCCACACTTTCATAATCTAATATAAAAAATTAGGACTCAGAATGAAATTTATTTTCATCACTAAAAGGCTTGTATTTTCGCTTGTGGAATAAATTCTAATGTGAGTGAAAGTACCAAACAGTCTTAAAAAAAGTATTAGATAAAACTCTGTTCCACTATGTTATAAAATCTTGAGACAATGCATCTGATAGCAAGAGTACCTTCTTTGATGTTAAAAATATTGAAGTCTCCAAATAATTTTCCAAAAATGCACAAAGATGACCTACTTTGTAATTGAACGTTTTTAAATAGCTTAAAAGAAGTTCGGTTTTTTAAAAGAAGATTTATTTTCATCAAAATGAGTTCTAAATGTAGTAGAAGTAGTATCTAGTATTCGGGCTTCAAAATTTTAACAATAATTTTACGTGTACGCACGTACAAACCCAAATTCATTAATTTTATTTTTCAATAAGTACTACATGCTCCGAATAATCTAAACCTACTCCTCGAAAACAATAAACGAACTACAAAGTCACGTGGTTCAGGATGGTAACAAGTACGTCGAAGTTCTGTTTAGAATCGTGGTCCACTTTACGCACAGAAGAACTGGCTGAAAGTACGTCATCGGACAATTCAGTTTCCTCGTGGATGTTGATGAATAATTCTTAACGTCGTATTGTTTATAATTTCAACCTCTGTAATGATAGACTCGATCGCGAAGTCTGCGGAGGATTACTGTGACCTTTACCAGACCTTAGAAACGATGGAGTGACGACTAACCGAAGATTACTGTCGGCATTAACAAGCTCAACCTACCTGTGAAACTTAGGCGTACCGTGTGTTTAACAGAATCATTTTCTTACCATGCGTTCGACATTGAACCCTCAAAGTCTATGTGCATTTAGCCGTATTTTAACAACATTTTACGTATTACCTAAATACAGGGTGAGCTGGTTAACGTTATTGTCAAGGTACTTCCCTTATTTCTACTCGTAACGTAAAATGTTTCACGTGTTAATGACACCCATTTAACAGGTCATATTATATTGAACTTCTTTTATATTGTATGGTATACGTTTTATTATCCTTTATCACTAAAAGTACTACAGGGTGATAAAAGGAAAGGGTCTAAGCCTTTAAGGGCTTATAGTACTCATTGAGAAGAGTAAGAAATGTCTAATCAATGTAAATACTAAAATCTATTATTTCAAAGAAAAATACAAAAGATTGTTTTCACGTTTGTTATTGATGTCTCATATGTCTTCCTTTCATTTCAATACAAAACTGACATTTGTGGATCATAGATCGACGTACATGACAGATGAAGTAATTTTTGTTGATATTAAGAATAATTGGGTGTGGTTATACAACCTTGGATTAACGTGCCTATAAACAAATTTTTCTGTTTATATTGAATATGTTGCGGAGAGAATCACTTACGATACCGAAATTTCGTAAATATAAAAGTTAATTTTCCATCAAAGAAGATTTATTAGGACCTATATTGATAAGACTCTTTTTACTCCTCTCGATGAGTACTATAAGCTCCTGAAGTCTTATTTTTTTAACTTCCTGTATAACCAGATTTTTATCAGTAGTCGTAATTGAAGTCCGTCGAAGAGCATTAGGCGAGGTAATGAGTATAGGACCACAGGAAGGAAACAAAATGTGACTTCTCATACGTTCTTGTCTGGATAGAGGCAAACTTCAGCTTACGAATTGTTATTAGTAATAACAGTCCAAGTCTAAAGACTAATTTTTACTGTTAAATATATACAGAAATACTTGCAACTGGGGATAAACAATCCGTTGTGTACAAAACTTTCGCAAAATTTGTTCGAAGATTCTCCACGTGGAACACTACCTCAACCGTACAAATAAGGGAAGCATTACAGCCGTCTTATCATAATTTTCACGCAACAGAATCTCAAAGCTTACGTCGTACATTACCCCCTGGGGCGAATTAAGATTCCCAGACGATTATACGATTAAAAAGAGTTCACGCTCCGTTTCACTTCATCTCGTCGGTTTACGCGAGTATCTGTCCTCCCCGGACGATCAGTCCGATCGACAGTCGCGAGAGGTTTCTTAGATCCTAAAAAACGGTCGGTCCTTAAAATTACTTTCTGAGGCAGTTGAGTTGGAAAGAGCGAAAGTATCAGTCGTGTGTGTGTGCGTGTGTGTGTGTGTTTTTGCGTCTAGTTTCGATCCGTCGACTTCGTGGAAAGTCGATAGACCGTCGACTTTTGTTGATCAACAACGCGGATTCTACATATCACCGTTCACGGCCTGATGGATCCCCCCTTCACAGGGCAAGAAACTTCATCAGCGCGTCATAAATGAGCCGTGGGTTGATGGTGCCGTCCGCGGTGTACCGGACACCCCTCAAGGAACCGTCGTCGTGACTAACTACCCCGTATTCACCGACAATGAAACCGTCCGGGGTTCTCTCTTCGACCCTGTACTTTCTGTAGTTCCTGCCCTCGACCACGTACCCAACTTTGTGTCCATCCTCGACCTCGGACGCGTTCGAGGGCTCTGTCAGCATCAGCTGGGGCCCGTGAACGTTCCCGCTACTGCTAACACTAACAGATTCATCCACCTCGTAGTTCTGTTCACCCGGTTCCCCGTCACGTTCGTAACTCAACGGTTGGCCCTCTGAGTCGTAAACCCTGCTTGGTTCACTGTACACTTTGGCGGGCTGCGAGTAGACTTTTGCTGGCTCGGAGTAGACTTTAGCTGGTTCAGAGTAGACCCTAGAGGGCTCTGAGTACACTTTTTCTGGCTCACCGTAGACTTTCGCTGGTTCGCTGTACACCTTCGCTGGTTCACTGTAGACTTTAGCTGGTTCACTGTACACCTTGGCTGGCTCACCGTACACTTTAGCTGGCTCTCCATATACCTTCTCAGGCTCACTGTACACCTTCGCTGGCTCGCTATAAGGACGAGCTGATTTGTAGTTCTTCGATGATTGACTGTAGACTTTCGTTCCTGGACGGTTGTAATGGGACGCGTCGTAGTGTCTTCCAGCTTTCCGTCCCTGAGCCTGGTAACGCTCCGAATGAACCTCCATTGGCTCCTCGTTGAACTCCTTCGGCTCTGAGTCTTCTTCTGGCAGCTCGTAGTTCTCCTCCGTTGGTAGGGTGATCATGTCCTCCGGTGGATTATGAGAGCTATTGTTAGTCTCTAAACGATGTTCAGTGATAGCAGGCGTGTGCCTGTTCACTGGCCTCGGAGTCACTGAACTCTGAGCCCGCCAGCTGGTGCTTGGCGATCCCTCGTCCACCGAGAACTCGCTTCTGTTCGATTCGGACACGATATTACTGAGATCCTCTGTGACGAAACTGGAAGGTGGTGGTGTCACCGTGGTCGTCGTTCTGGGCGTAGCTGTCGTTGCAGCTGTCGTCGTTGGTTTCACCGTCGAAGTAGCTGTCGACACTTTCGTAATCGGTGCTCTGCTAGAGGTGTAGTTTGATTCTCTCGTCGATTCTTTAAAGGAACTGTTAGTGGCGCTTGATAGCCGGCTGACAGTGGACGCGTCAGTGTTGTCGTAGTGCTCCACCCTGACTTTATACGGCGTTGCTTCGACGGTGGACGTCACGCTAACTCCGATCACCTTCTGTCTGCTAACTCCTTTGTTGGATGAAATGCTAGTCGCGTTTGTCCTAGCTGAAGACTTATCTCGGGTCGTCACAGACGTGACCGTGGTACTCGAGCTCTGTGACGTCAATCGCGTTGAAGAGATGTCACTAGTAGTGCTCAGTTCATCTATCAACGACGCCAGATTCTGCTGCCTGTTCTCCAGCGTTTTGTGGCTGATTGGGTAGAATCTAACGATCTCTTCTCGGCCGTTTGTATTCCGCGCTCTTGGCACGACCTGTCTGTTGCCGGGATTCCGCGATATTCGGTAGATCGACGCCTCGTGCTGATGAGATTCCGCTGTCGCGCTATCTCCGGCTGCCGCTGCAGTCGATGATGCCGTCTGCCCCTGTCCGCCCCGCCTGAAACCTCTGCGTCGCTGGGGCGGCGTGGCCATGGCGCCGTTTATGAAGACTGACAGGAATTCCGTACCGGCTAGTATATCGTTCCTCTTCGCCGGAGCACCGGCTACTTCGTCCCACACCAGTGCCGCCTGCAGCAGTACCTGGAATATGTTCGGTCGTTCAATGGAATGCGGAAGCAATTTTCGATATAAAAGGAAATGATAGAAAGTAATGTAAAGAAGCTCTTAAAGTAATATCTCGCTCTCCGAGGTTGACATGAAGTTATAGCTTGCTCTTCTTACATCTCTCAATCTCTTATCTGTAGACCTTAGTGGCCTTGTTGGATGCGTGTAATGGGTTCCAATTAAAGGTAGTGCCTGAAGTTAATGAAGGTTATGGATGGTATTGGATTGGGAGGAAGCAACGTAAAATTGAAGTTCGAAATATTCTACTGACGAGGTGGATATCTGTGTGTATTAGAGTTGTCAAAACAATGAATTTCTGAGAAATAAATGTGAGCTAGTTTTTAGGAAAGTACGGACCAATCATTTTGGCTGATTTCATAGTTCCGCTGTCAATTTTTTTCGTGAGATTAGGAGCACATGTTTAAGAAGATATTCTTTTTCCGACATAGGAATAATGTAATAGCAAATAAAGTCTCTTCTTTTCTCTATTTAAAACTTCGAATTGCACAATGATCTTCCTCATTTTATAGATTTACTGCATTTGTTTAGGCTTTTGTTATTTTTCGTTGGCGTAAGGTAAACATTACAGATTGCTGCATAATAAATCTCGTTTTTGAACTGCAGACTTTACACGATTTTACAGTATTATCTTGAAAAGAAGATTTTATATCGAAGTAGGTCGAAAATCTTTTATTTGGATCGAAACTCTCTTGCCAACGAGTTACAAGCATCTTGATTCCATTTTTTCCGATTTTGAAATGGCTAGAATGAATTGCGTTGAAAACAATTTATTATGCAACAACCTAATACAAAATTTTACTTTCAAGATTTAAGTTTAATTAAGTATATAAAAACGATGAAACTCTTCTATATAAATACATTTTCTTGTAGATTCACTGCATTCTGTTCTTTAAAACTGGTTTTCGTGTTATACATAACGAAGTTGTTGATTCTCAAAATGTTATAGCTACTTAAAATGCATCAATAAAAATTGTAAACTGGACTCTATACGAATAAGGAAAATAATGAGACATTCTTTACCTTTATGTGAGAAGACTATGCATCTGAAAAATAATTCTCACGTCTGAGGAACACTAACTTTTACTTGACTTAGACCCGGAAGCTACAGATTGCCGCTGTTACTGTCACCATACGTTAAAGCTTCAAAGCTGTAACATTCTTTAGTAAAAATTCTATATTCTATAAAATTGTCACGTTCGTGACTCTTTGGTTATAAATGTCTTCGATCGTAGAAGGAATAGAATTTATATTAAAAATATGAATATTGAACAGCAAAAGCTACTTATGTATTCTGATAAAGTAATGGTAAATATTTAAAAGACTTTTACTGCCAGGTTTCTCGTAATGTGTTAAAGTAATATTTTTAAATAAATTCAAAGATACATTCTTCTGCGTTAGCTATAAAACGTTCTTCCGTAGACATATAATTTGAAGTTTTAATTAACAATCATGTAGTAAGAAGGATATAATTTCTTGTGCAATTGGAATGGAAATGACGTTGTGCATCTGAACAATGAAAAATCTGAAATTCAATTTTTTACGCGTTTTACTGTCTAAGATAATCTCCATAAGTTCAGTGGATACGCGTGAGAATAATGATGATTTCATGTATGTCTGGCCACGATAAACTATTCCTACTTGCATTAACATTTCGGAACGGAGGCTGATGTGTCGATTTTAAATTGAAATTATTAAAAATATAAGAGGAAAGAATATTTTTAATTATCCATTTGATATGCTTCAATATTTTCATAACTTTCATAAACATGTTCACTGTAAAAATAATTGTGAAAAATATTGTACACCGCTATTCAATGTCATTTCAAAATAATTTTGTTCTTTTATCAAGTACTTCAAATAAAACAACAAATATTTGTGTTCTTGAATGTGTTGATAGTAGACAGTTAAAAATAGTACATTCCTTTCGTATAATTACACTCAGGGAACTTTTTTCTTCACTTCAGAATACATATATTAAAATGTAGACCTGAATAAAAATTATTTTATTAGAAAAATAGGTACTCTAATAACTAAGATATCAACTAAATATTCTATTAGGTATACCAAACAGTAGTCTACTATTTCTTGATGCTAGTATTCATTTCTATCGAAATCAAGCAAACAATTTTTTAATCTTATTACTTTTGAAAGGTCAGTATGACGATCTTAGGTACTTCTACTTTTCACTATGTATTTTTGGAATAAAATCTTGCCCAACTCTGTTGTATTCATAATGAGTTCTTACCACCCTACATTATTATTACTCGCTTTACGGTTAGAAAGATATTTTTAATCAACAACGATAGTATATTACTTATTGGTGCACCTGACAAATCATTTAGTCAATAAAAATATAAATATTTTCAAACAAAAGTCCATAAAAATAATGTATTATTGGAATAATATCGTTTTTAACATTCTCTACTCAATTAAAGTACCCTGTAAGTAAAGTAGCTACTTCTGAATCTCATGATACAAAAAGAAAACGGGCAAACTTCTGCCTCCTTCTAATGAATTCACAAGTAAATAACCGAGTAATGAATGTGTTTCGCGTTTCGGTATCCGTGTACAAAGATAGTCAACAATCCCGAAAGAGCTAACGAAGTTACGATAGCCGGGACCGGAGCTGTAAAGCTGCATCAAACTGTCAACAATGTATGACCGATCGAACCGGGTTCTACCGTGGAACGGGCCAATCAGCCGATGACAGAAAAACAGTTCATTGAGCATTTAACTAACACGATAGCTGACAATGAGATCGGTAAAATAATGAGCGCGTATGGTGCTGTCAAAAGTTTCAGAGCGGTTGTTAAGGAGGAAAATATATATATATATATATATATATATATATATATATATATATATATATAAAATATCAACAAACTGTTGTGGGGCCCATTAAAGCCACGTGAAATCGGTGAACAAGCTCGTAAGTGCTTCACGCCCGCGAGGACACACGGAACACGTCGGTCCCCATTTATTTTTCAATCCCCGGACGAGCGATAAAACCCTCCTTTCTATCTGACCATTCTGGATGCACGAAGGTCACGCCAGGTGCATCCGTGCAATTTATAAATTACGCTCGCGGCCGTATTAAACGTCCCCTGGAACGGGTGTAGCTTATTGCGCCCGGGAGGGCCTTATCTCCACGCGTCTTTCAGAGATGTCACCTTGTTATCTTTCGAAACATCTCATTTCCTAGTGTATTAAAACGATCGTCCGGCCTTCGTGTTGACGTTAACGTCCGTCCATCAAGGAAACATTGAGCCACCCTCCTCAAACCGGGTGCGTGTATTGCGTGAATGCTTATCCTTTGACCATTGAACATTTTTATCGTTAATATTTGCTACGTTCATTATGAAGATGAATTGAAAGATAAGAGTGGACGTTTAAGTGTCAAAATTTGAATCACAAGTGTTATTACATTGACAATAAGGTCACGTGGTATATTACACTATGTTTTTAACCCATTAAATTCCAAGCAGTAAAATAAGGCAATATTTTACGCATACAATTATTTATTACTTATAAGAGTGTATAAGGAAGAATATACAGACTATCAAAGAAATGTCTGGATCGGTGCTTTTTGTATAACAAAATGTTGCGTTTACGTAACTTCGGGCAATTCTTTATTTGAAAACGTAAGGAAAAGGACTTATATATTGTTTTGTCGAAATACATATAAAAATTCCATTGTAATATTAGACATTATATTATAGAAGCCCACTATAGTAATTCCTCGATGGATACGACACGAGCATCGGCGTCATTCCCACCACTGGGATAGTCCCCCTGTGGAAGCAATTAAGCGGAATAAACAGAAGCTAAACAGAGGCTCGACTTTGGGCAAAGAACACATTTATGAGGGACTAAAAACCTTTCCACCTTGGGATGAATGCTTCGAAGTGGACCCGAGTACGTGGCACTCACCGAGATATTACTGTGCATAAGAAAAATTCACCAAAAAATTCCACTGATTTAAAAATAAGTTGGTTTATCATAGTGCAACGGACACTTCAATTTCATCAAACTTTGAAACGTGGTAGGATCTAAGTGGAAGAAGAAATAGTGAAGAAAAAAATAATAAGCAAATCTTTTAAATACTTTTTTATGAGTGCAACATCGAGAATAGTATTCAATAATGTAAAGTCACTGAAAAAAATTGCCAGTGAAAATGTTGCGTTAAGGCAATATTGGGTCTGAATAAGTTAATGAAACTTCTTACAAACGTGAAGAATTTTCATTAGAAGACGTATCTTTTATTTGAATGTCTGTTTAAATATGAAAGTAGATGTGTAGTGTAATGGTTATGGCGGCAATTTCGTAATCTTATAGTGTGGAGTTTCCGTCCCACTGCTATAAATAAGTTATGTATAAGTGGGGTTACTATTCAGACTACATACTGTATAATAAGAACAATAGTTCTTTCAGATCTAACCCTTTCTGTTTCCAATATATCTGGAGAAAATGATTCTTTAGACTATTTTACATAGATTGGGTTAAAAAAGGTTGTATCAAAATTTATTCAGGACATAGATGCAAGATCAAATGTGGTAGTAAAATAAACATTGTTACATTACAGGAGATGCTCGAAGTGGTGACCGTTTGCGTCAATGCAAAGTTGCAATGTTCGTATCGCTGCTACCACATTTGACCTTGCATGACCTTCAATGATATCTCGCTGAAGTCGTCTTAACACCGGCTATCACATCGCGATAAAAAAAACATAGCATTTCATTAAAAAAAATACAGATGACCTTGAAATCTCCTCTATGCCTTCACCCACGCAGAAAATGTTTGTGTCACAACATGCCCCCCTCTATACCGTGTAAGCTTTGTACATAACATTTTTTCATATTATTACAAATAACGGCAATATTCAAAGTGGAGGTAGTTATCGCCCCACCTTGTATATAGCGTAGTCATATATTTGTGGACCGTATCACGAAGAAATT